TCGCGTCCGACGCTACTATTATCAGTCGGTGCGGGTCGTAATGTGTCCTCTATAAATCTGAAGTTAGTCGTTTTTAAATTCCTTCAAAAGCTTTTTGACATTCCGCCGACCAATTCCATTTCGCAGCCTTCTTAATTCTTCAGAAGTGCTCGTAATTTGCACATATCTGTCACGTAAATATTATAATAATTTGCTAATCCGAGAAATGATTGTAGGGTCACCCAATTTATCGGGTGAAGCATGCCTTTAACGGCACTTGTTCTAGTGGGATCTGATCTTCTTTCTTTTTCGTCGATTATCTGCCTTAGGTATTTAATCTTATCCATAAAGAACTGATATTTCTATTCACAGAGTTTGAAACCGTAAACATACACACTCCAAAATACTTGCTGATCATAGTTTAATCAGTTTAACGTGCTGTATTTTCGTAGTGCTTTTTATAAGTATATCATCTATATAAGCGACAACACCGTGTAGTTCAGCCAACGTCGTATCCATTATTTGCTGCCAAATACTTGGGGCTACTTTGACACCAAAGGGTAATTTTCTTATCTTGTAGAGTCCTTTATGTATATTAATAGTCAAACACATCTCTCAAATACTATTAATAGTCAAATACTTATGTCAAATACTATTAATAGTCAAATACTTATGTCAAATACTACTGTCCACTTCGATTTGAAGATATGCCTCAGACAGGTCAATGTTTAAAGAAAAAAAACCTACCACCACTTAATTTGGCAAATATATTCTCTGAGTTTGGTAAAGTATATACGTGTGGTAGGAGACATTCATTCAACCCAGTCGAAAAATCTGCACGTAAACAATTTTTTTTTCATATATAAACAGCTGGCGTAGTCCATTCCGAATAATTTACTTTTTCAATAACTCCGAACCTGTCAAGTTCGGTGTTAATAGACTCCAACACAGCAAAGGGTACCTTTCTTTTAGGCTTAAAAAACTGGTACCACATTTTCTTTTAATTCGAAAAATGCCTTTGACTTTGTACATTTTCCCAACTCCCCTGAGAAAATATTCGTGGACTTATTTCTTAGTTTACACAGTGTTTCTTTATCTGTAATGTTTTTCTCTGATGAACAATTAATTTTTCCACAGATTGAATTAATCGACCAATTCTATATTTCAAATAATTCTAGCCAATCAACGCCTAGTAAATTCTAGTTGGAACTTTTTAATACGTAAATATCTGATTTTTTTTTCATTTTTACCCGCAAGAGCGATGTTACACGTAATTTTCCCAAGAAAAATGAATTTCTTGCCCGATATTTCTCAAGTTAGGCTTGCCAATTGTGTTCCAAGTTTTTTCATCAATAATTGTAATATCGCTACCAGTATCTAATTGAAATCTCACCATAGCGTTATTCATTTGTACTGTCACGAATTATCTATTATTTGAACTTTACATTTATTTAGTTGGCAGCACTATTTTCAGCAAGTTAATTTGCTGTATTTCTTTTGTTTTTTGACTTGCAGTAGTTTCGTTCGTGACCTGTTTTTCCACAACTAAAACATTTTAGTTTTAAATGGAAAGTCCGTGAAGCATACCACAGTCATAGAATAGGTTAAGTTTGCGATATTTTTATTCTGGAATTTTTTCTTTTGGTACAACTGTCTTTTTCCTAACAACTTGTACTTCTGACGTGCCATTTTGTTCGATTTTCGCTGTATCTTAAAATAACAATTTTTGGCGCTTTTTGAATCCTGTTCAAGTTTTGTAACGATTCGAGAGTTTATTTCCACATCGTCGCTTTATGGCCCATTCTGAATAATCTATTTTTTTTTAATAACTCCGCGATTTTCTAACCTATCCAGTTCAGTGTAAATAGACTCCAACACAGCAAAGGGCATCTTTCTCTTAGGCTTAAACACTGATACCACATTTCCTTTAATTCGAAAAATGCCTTTGACTTTGTACATTTTTTCCCAACTCTTTTTATGTATGTATTTTTTAGTTTGCTCGGTGTTTCTTTAGCTGTAATCTTTTTCTCTGACGAAAAATCAATTTTTCCACAGAAGGAATTAATCAGCCAATTCCAGAGTTCAAATAATTCTAGCCAATCAACACCTAGTAAATTCCTGTTAGAATTTTTTAATACGTAAACATCTAATTTTTTTTTCAAGAGCGATGTTACACGTAATTTTCCCAAGAAAAATTAATTACTTGCCCAATATTTCTCAAGTTAAGCTTGCTAATTCTGTTTTAAGCTTGTTCATCAATAATTGTAATATCGCTACCAGTGTCCAATTGAAAACTCACTCTAGCGTTATTCATGAATGTTCTATTATTTGAACTTTCCAGTTATTTTTAGCTGGTAGCACTAATTTCAGCAAGTTAATTTGTGTATTTCTTTTGCTTTTCTACTTACAGTAGCTTCGTTTATTACCTGTTTTTCCGCCATTAAAACATTTTATGGTTTTAAATGGACAGACATTTCTGAAATTAAGCATACCACAGTAATAGCAAGGGTTAAGTTTGGCAGTATTTTTATTTCTATTTTTTTCTTTTAGTACAACTGTTTTTTCCTAACAACTTGTACTTCTGACGTGCCATTTTATTCGATTTTCGCTGTATCGTGGCTTAAATTAACAATTTTTTGGCACTCTTCCGCAACACTCTGTATCATTAACTTTGAATCCTGTTTAAGTTTTGTAAGGATTCGAGAGCGTATTTCCGCGTCGTTGCTTGATGTTAGACCTTTAACAAAGACTAGACATTTAAATCTGCCTGGGGATAGTTGGTCCAGTTTAAATTTCTCACCCTCACGAATGACTTTACCGGTACATGTGACAAAATCTTCTTTGTCCTTAGTAAAGTTCATGCACTGCCAATGTGTATAAAAATGTAAATTCTTTTCACCCCATTTTTTTTATAATATCGACACGGTTTCGTTAAATGACAATTTTTAGAGTATTCGGCAAAAATCAAATTCTGATATTTTTCATCTTCATCGGCTCACAATTTTCGTAACATCCGACCATCCCTGACATTCTTCTCTAAAAATGGCCTCGTACCTTCTGAAGTACGATAGGAATATAGTTTTTTTTCTTCTAAGACGTAATTAAATTCACTAATTGATTTAGCGACTGAGACCGGTGAAAATGGAATTGCCATATTTCATATTCCTTGCTTTTCCAGGATTGTCTAAAACTGTTCTCGATATTCAATCCGCTCCCACTGCATTTGTTGTAATAGTTGCTGAATAATTATCTTCAATTCTTCCATTGTTAGTGTTATAGTACCTTACCCATAATAATATAATGGACTATCCCATACGTAATAAATACTGCGCCTCAAGAGGAAGCAGTGAGTTCAGTCTGAAGTCGGACGACCGGCTGACCAGCTGATCGGTTGAACTCTCTGCCTTCGGGCGGGGAGGAACCCGAACGAGGCTACGACGAAGGGCGGAGTCTCTTTCGGGGAGGTAAACCGACCCTTAACCCGTTCATACGGGTTCAAAGGGCATATTTTTGGCCGAGCCCTCGGGCCCGGAGGTCCCACGTTAAACCAGCCTTGTGCCACATGAAGCCCTCGTGGGGGGGGGGGTGACTAAATACTGTTCAGTCTGAAGTCTGAAGTGAATTCCGTCAGGAGTCTGTCAGTCAGTCAGAGCGAGTCAGTCAGTTGAGTCAGAGGCAGACCGAGTCGTGTTCAGACAATTACTACCTGAATTTTCGTACTAACACTTTTTACTTCTCTGTATATATTCCTGTTTGTAATATATCTGTGTTATTCCATATCCGCCTTCGAGTTCTTCTTTATTGGTTCTACCCTGGACTATCACCCGGGGTACAAGGAACTGGACCATAACAGTAAGTGTATTATTTTCATACAAGTAGTCCTTAACTAGGAAGAAAAAGATTTTTTCCGTAATAGTTGTATGTCATGTACACTTGAAATTTATCGACTTCCGCGCCACCCTATGAATATACATTAATTTCCTAAAATGCTTTTCCGTGAATTTTGAATTTTCTTCGTCAGCTATTTGTGCTAAGCGAGAGAAAAGAAAATTTTTTGTGTGTGTGTGTGTGTGTGTATGTGTGTGTGTGAATTCTAATCCTCGTCGCCACTGTTATGTCTTCATTCCACTGAATAAAGACAACACAACTATAAAGTATAATGTCCCTTGGAGTCGACGTAGTCTAACGAAATTCTGTAGTAAGGATATAAGGCTCGCTTCCGGCTAGCTCTCTGCTGACGATTCTCGGCGTCATTATATTTGCTATTTGGACGATTCCAAATGTTATGGCAATTTACTAATGCACGCTTGAACTCTCCGAGTTATAAATAAAAGCAGGTACTGCCTTTTAGAGGAGGGTATTTTCCAGCAGTCAGCTCTGATAGTCGGACCTAATATTCTTGTTGTAACACTCTCGTTTGTATTATTGTTTTTCTGATAATATATTTGTATAACTCAATTCCTCTCTTGTGTCTTAATTTCTGGCCCTAACAAGAGTAATATTTTGGAGAGGTGTTTTAATCTCAACAACAATATAGAACGTTCCAAAAATATACTCATTTTTTTGATTTGCTATAACTTTTATTCATTTAATTTCATTTAATATGATGAATCCATAAACATTAATATTCTTAGTATTAATAATCTCATTTGCAAGTAACATAAACATTGCATTTATTGTCATTTAAAGCGTGAGTACATAGGGGAGGGCATTTGTGGGGGATATTTTTGAGTGATTGTATGAGAATCTTCGTCCGAGTATCAGGCATTGTAAACGACTGTAAAGTCAGACGCAGGTTCGAAACCTGCCAGAGGACATATTATCTTTATTGGATTTTCACAAGTAGATGAAATAAATACTGCTTAAAAGAAATGAGCGTCTATTCAAATACGGATATTAGCTAAAAAAGGTTTATATATATATATATATATATATATATATATATATATATATATAGAGAGAGAGAGAGAGAGAGAGAGGGGAGAAGAACGGACTGAGATAGATAGATAGATAAGAAAAAACTAAGATGGATAAATAAATAAGAAAAGATGGAGATAGATAAATAGATAAGAAGAACGATAGATAGATAGATAGATAGATAGATAGATAAGAACAAATTGATATAGAGATATGGAGACGAAAAAGAGAAATAAGAACAAACTGAGAAAGATAAATATATAGATAGATGGTAAACAACTAAGATAGATAGATAGATAGATAGATAGATAGATAATGGGGGAGAGAGAAAGAGAAATAGGAACAGCCAGAGATAGATAGATAGATAGATAGATAGATAGATAGTAAAAGACTAAGATAGATAAGAACAAACTGAGATAGATAAATGGGAACGGACTGAGACAGACAGATAGATAGATAGATTGATAGATAGATAGATAGATAGATAGATAGATATGAATAGGCTTAGCTAGCTAGCTTGCTAGTAGATAGATAGATAGATAGATAGATAGATAGATAGATAGATAATGGGGGGAGATAAAAAGAGAAATAAGAACAGACGGTGATAGATAGATAGATAGATAGATAGATAGATAGATAGATAGATAGATATTAAAAGACTTATCTATCTTAAAGAACAAACTGAGATAGATAAATGGGAACAGACTGAGATCGATAGATAGATAGATAGATAGATAGATAGATAGATAATGGGGGGAAAGAAAAAAAGAAATAAGAACAGCCGGAGATAGATAGATAGATAATGGGGGGAGAGAATAGCCGGAGATAGATAGATAGATAGATACTCTTCCATGTATTGTTTTGCAAAGTATCAAAACAAGTTTTTCCCCACCCCCCATCTTTCGACGTCACTTGGTTATTTGATGACCTCTTCTTTTTCTCGCCTCCCTCAATGTGCGCCCCTTTCCGTCTCTATCCATAATTAATTTACTCGACGGCCCGCTGAAGGCATCTTGCCTCAAATTGGTTAAAACAGCAACAATAATGACTGACAATTAAATTCATGGGTATCATCAGTAAGCATTAGTCTTTGATGATGCCGCGACGCGCACATCCCCACCCCCTAATGGTGAGCAATCAGTCTTGTTATTGTTATGAGTTTGACTTTGTTTAGGCTACGACGCTTAGCCGTGTACGTCTAGCTACTTTAGACGCCTTTATTATTACCAGGCACGTAGACCAAAACATTTTTTTTAAAATTTGTCTCTTTGTTCATTCGTAGTTTATTAACTCGTTATTTCCTTCTGAAGAGAACAATAAAAAATTATTGGAAAGTGGCCTTGAATCTGCCCTTCGTGTGGGCCTTAGGCTCGCTCCTATAGAGGGATTTTCAGCGTTCGGCCTTTTAGCTTCAGTGTCTTTATGTAAGTAAAAGTTATAAGAATTTAGAAATAATAAAATTATTTCCTCTTTATTCGTCACCTTAATTCGGCATAATCTTTCTTCGTATACGCAACCGGTATCTGCAGTTTGTGTACATTTATTTTGTGCGTAATTTTTCTTTTCTTTTAAAATCACCATTCTTTATGATCCCTTCACATAAAGTAACTCTTAAAAGACGTTAGAGAGCCCGAACTATATAATATTTCGAATATATCACAGTGCGCGTGCTAAAAAAAAAAAAACTAAAAAAAAAAAAACATATGTGCAACGTTCCGAGTCGCGCTTAAATTTTAATTACGTTTTGATTAGACAATATCAAGGGCAATTGCGACCTTTAATAAAGAATTGTTTTTTTAAATCTATCACTCTGTTCGATTATTTAAATTTAACTTTAAATGAGTTATTTATTTGATCTTTAATCGATTGTAATTACAGTAGTTACTCCCTGTTAATTCAGGTTGTTTATGATTCGCCAAGATAAAAACAAAAAAAAAAAACGGACGGACGGACAGACGGACACGCGTGCACTGCGCTTTACTTATATATATAATACTTTTTTATTTATTTTTTAAGCGAGTTTGTACGTACTAAACGTAACCAGAAAACAGGTTACAAAGATCTGCAATCCGCCACTTCTTCTCGTATGTGCCGTATCCATTTAGGACGGGGATGATGAAATCTCCCCAATACTTCCTATCTTTTTAGCTCTAATTAATACTTATGTTTTAACTATCACTTCCATTCTCTGTTTTGCCTTCCATTTGAGCATATATGATAAATCGAGAAAGATCAGTGAAGGTGTGTGTTTATAAGCAGTAATTTTTGCTTTGCTTGACTGCAAATTCTCTTGGCTGAACATAGCTAAATGTATCAGCACTTAAAGGAACACTCATGCCCACGCTCTCAGATTCGACAGATATTGGTTGAAAATACACCTATATGACATAAAAAAAAACAACGGCAAGCAAAAACAAAAATCCTTGAAGCCCTTTTATATAAGAGAGTTAAAGCCCCAAATAAATAACGTCAACTATGAGTATAGCAACAAATTACTTAAAATCCTATGATATATATATATATATATATATATATATATATATATATATATATATGAAGAAAAATATACTGAAAAAAACAAACAAAAATCCTAATATGCGATTATGCTGTTTTAATGTTTAATGTCAAAGTCGGACGTTTCGGTCTAATAGACCATCTTCAGGACATATTCATAAAATATAATTAACATAGACCATATACCATTCAACATGAAAAAAGTTGATGGACATAAATACCAATCCAAACAGATAACTTAAATCTTTTATATATATTATTTTATAATCTATTTTTTTTTAAATCAATTTTTAAATCTACCAAAAATTTAATCGGTGAACTTAAAAGGATGACAACGAAAAATAATCGATATGAGATGTTTAAATTATTTAACAAAACCTGTTTGAAAAACCATATATATATATATATATATATATATATATATATATATATATATACACACACACACACACACACACACACATATATATATATATATATATATATATAATACGGAATTGAAAAGAACTCGCCCTGTTTACATTTTCACATTGTCAACAATGATAAAACTTTCTTCTTCTTCTTCCCCCCCTGTTCTGCATTACTGTAAGAAATTTGAAAGTTTTGTTCATGTACTTTACTACGGTTAGGTCAAAACTATGAAATTTTCTTGCAGTAATACAGCATATGGGGAAAAAACAACAAATTCACTGGAATAGTGAGTCCCACTTTCATTGTTTGTTTCTGATTTCATTGATAAATGACACAGGCGTGTTTATTTTCGCGCTTCGGTTGAATCAAAATGTTATCAGTCTTATTAACAATATTTTGACCATTTTACTGTTTATTCCTCGAATTTCATTATCCGGCTTATTTAAAAGATCTACATATCATAAGAAGCTTACGTGGACCATCTTTCGTTATCATCATAATTATATATATATATATATATATATAAATAAAAAAAAATTATGGGGGATTTGAATAATCATATTTCATTCATCGATTCTAGAAGTATACTCAACAGAATGCAGAAAACCCTGATTGCCGTTTCGTCCTGTCTTGGGGACTCAGCAGCAGTGCCCATCCACTACCGAGAATCGAAACCGGACCGCTGATGACTACCAAAAAATAGGACGAAACGGCCGTCCAGGGTTTTCTGCTGAGGATTCTTCTAGACTCAGTGAATATATAATATATATATATATATATATATATATATATATATATATATATATATATATATATATATATATATATATATATATATATATATATATATATATATATATATATATATATATATATATATATGTGTGTGTGTGTACGTATATTGCTGTACGCAAATGTAGTCGCTAACTAGATTATTCTCCTTGTTTTTGCTTTTAAAATTAATCATTCAAAATTTTATTGAATGGGACATATCAAATCAGTTAATTTAAATAATTAAAACACGGTTTACTGCTCATAGTTGTTTCTGCAGTCTCTGACGGGGGTTCTGCCTATCACGGCGCTATTTTTAACCATTTTTTCTTAGCAGAATTGTTCGAAATCGATGACTTCCGGTGATGGACATTAGTTTTTAATCAATGCCGCAGACGTTCTTTTGAATTAAGCCCAGACGATTTAGAAAGCTATTACATCACACAAAACGTATTTTTCTTAAACCAATCCCTGTCCTGTTGGCAGGAGCCGGAATATCTGTGTCACAGCGATAAGACGTGCCCAAAAGGGGACCAACTTCTAAATAAACGATTACGTATTCAAATTTAAACCACCATTTTCTTGTAAAAAAATAAAAAAAAAAAAACACTTGAAGCAACAGAAATGTCGTTTTACAGAAGGATGTTAAAAATATCACGTACTGAAGATGCGAACAACATGGAAGTTTTAAGGAAATTTTAAACTACAGTGTAACCCGGATATAAGAGAGTTGTCGGGACCGGAGAAGAAGCCTCTTATATCCGGGTTCGGTCTATTTTATATACATTAACACGGGCTCTAATTTGGGACCAGATAAAATCTCTCTTATATCCGGGTTTCTCTTATATCCGGGTTTGGTTTATTTTATATACATTAACACAGGCTCTAATTTGGGACCAGAGAAAATGTCTCTTTTATCCGGGTTTCTCTTATATCCGGGTTTGGTCTAATTTATATACATTAACACAGGCTCTAATTTGGGACCAGTGAAAATGTCTCTTATATCCGGGTTTCTCTTATATCCGGGTTTGGTCTAATTTATATACATTAACACAGGCTCTAATTTGGGACCAGAGAAAATGTCTCTTATATCCGGGTTTCTCTTATATCCGGGTTTGGTCTAATTTATATACATTAACACAGGCTCTAATTTGGGACCAGTGAAAAAATGTCTCTTATATCCGGGTTTCTCTTATATCCGGGTTTGGTCTAATTTATATACATTAACACAGGCTCTAATTTGGGACCAGAGAAAATCTCTCTTATATCCGGGTTTCTCTTATATCCAGGTCTCTTATATCCAGGTTACACTGTATAAGGACACTCATGTTTAAAATGGCTCGTTCAATGTGTCATTGTAGACAAATTTACGTGACATCTGTCGTTTTTTTACGGCAGCGAATTGGACGATTTCCCCAAAACTGAAGAGACCCGAAGCGACAGAGATGTTGTTCTACAGAAGGATACTAAGGATAGCATTGACCGCGCGTGTGAGCAACGATGAGGTTATAGAGAAGATGCAAACAAGGAGCAGGCTTATCATACTTATTATAAAACCCAGGTTGTGTGTGTGTGTGTGTTTATATATTGGATTGGATTTCCTACATTTTTCAACCGATTTCAACAAAACTTCACAGGACTACGTAAAATTAACTTGCGGTGGTTCTGACATAGCCAAAAATTGGAAAAACACAATTGTTGTTGCACAAAATCAATTTGAAAACACGATTAAGAGGCATCGCTTTTGCAGAATGAAAGGGGGACAACTCATATCAAGTTATACTTATTATAAAATCCAGGTTGTTTGTTTGTGTGTGTGTGTTCGTTTATATATGGGATTGGATTTCCTACATTTTTCAACCGATTTCAACAAAACTTGACTTTTTTTTTTGGCAGGTAGTGTTTCTTATTGTATTGCACACTTTTTTCTTTATTTTTACATTCAGAATGCTTTAAAAATTCCATTTACAAGACAATTGTTTATAATAAAATTCTATTCAATCGGTAGACTCATAACGATTGAAAACAATGTTTTTGTTTGAGTTTGACCAATTCGTAAAAAAAACAAAAAAAAAACAAAAAAAAAAACTAATTAAGTTAGTCCGTCAACCTTAAACAATAATCTTTGTCAATTTTATTTTTCAGTCTTTATGATGGTCGATACTTGATCTATCTCTTACTGTTACATCCCCGGGCAACGCCGGGCTCTACTGCTAGTACTTGATATCAGGAAGAGGCAGCTGAAGTTTCTGGGACACATCATGAGGAAAGAGGCCCTGGAGAATCTGATACCCCCGGCTCGAAAGAGAGACAAGGGAAAACAACGCATGATATACTTGACGGGCTTAACCAAGTGGATGACAGATCATGATCTGGGGGATGTGGCAGATGGAAGGAACTTGTTGAGAACTGCAATGAATACAGAAGGTAGAGAGCCATGATCGCCTATGTTCTAAAAGGACATGGCACATAAAAAGAAGCTGCTAACCTCCAGGTGAGTGACTTTTTACACCTGTCTCGGGCTAACGATCTCGGCTGACATAAAGCAGAAAGATTATATTGAACCCATTGTTAGGTCATCTTTTAAGAAAGAAAACTGTGTCGCGTTAGACAATTGTTCCCTACGGAAATTATCTTGCATATTTATTAGTCTACCATTCGTCCTTGCTTTGAATATTGCTGCCACATATGACTCGGTGTTTCTGCTACATATTTAGAGATTCTTGATAAAACCTAAAAAAGAATCATCAATATTATTGATCCTGGCCTGGTATCTCGGCTTTAGTCACTTTCCCACCGCCGTAATGTAGCTTCCCTGTACGTTTTCTATAAATACTTTCATGGTAATCGTACCTGGACTTTATGAATTTAAGCGCAGTCCTTGAAGGTTTCATCAATTTATATTTGATTCGGCTAGAAGTAACCGTAAGTTCTATGCTAATAGTTTCTTTTTCTCGCACTTCTCACTTGTGGAACTCTCTTCCGGCTCCATGCTTTCCAGCCAACTTTGATCTTTGAAAATTTAAATGCAATGTCAATCGACATTTACTGTCTTCCTGATTACTCTTCTTTTGTTTTCGTTCCTTAATAATGTTTCTCTTTTTTTTTTTCTCATTTTTTCACACTCAGTAAATCAGTAAAAGAAACTTGAAATATCTGGGACACATAATGAGGAAAGAGGGCTTGGAGAATTTAATACTCACAGGCTGCGCTGAAGACAAGAGGTACAACGGGCAAAAGGCGAGTAACTTACTGGTGAGTTAGTGCAACTTGGATGATAGAACCAACACAAAAAGCGATAGTAAAATGTCAAATGATACTTTTACCTAGAGTAACAAAAGACAGGAAGTTGTGGAGAGCCGTGATCACTCGCGTTTTGAAGATACACTGTAGCGTTTATGAGGTGAGTTGATTTATCGATTCTTGTTCTATCATCCACAGTTAAGGAAGCGAGCGGCATCGATGTTTCGGTCGCACTGAAGACGAATCATGAAACCTTTGAAGATACAATTTCTTTTTTCAGTGATGTGTGAATTCAGGAGGTAGGCAATCATGACTCTCCACAACTTCCCGTATTTTGTAGCTCTTAATTAATGTTAGCATTTGTTAATTCTTCCAAAACCAGTTTCGCCATTCTCAAGCTCCGTCATTATGCTAAACGTTGTTTTCTTCTGTTTCTCTTGCATTTAATCTGTCTTGTGAGTATCAGATTTTCCAAGCCGTCTTTCCCCGTTATGTTATACGTTGTTTTCTTCTGTTCTTCTTGCATTTAATCTGTCTTGTGAGTATCAGATTTTCCAAGGTGTCTTTCCCCGTTATGTTATACGTTGTTTTCTTCAGTTTTTCTTGCATTTAATCTGTCATGTGAGTATCAGATTTTCCAAGCCTTCTTTCCCCGTTATGTTATACGTTGTTTTCTTCTGTTCCTCTTGCATTTAATCTATCTTGGAAGTATCAGATTTTCCAAGCCGTCTTTCCCCTTTCCTATTCTACGTTGTTTTCTTCTGTTCCTCTTTAATTTAATCTGTCCCCGTTATGTGCTCATTTTTGAAAAAGTGTTAATTCTGAATCAGTCGGACAAGTTTCTTGATTGGATTTAAATCAAGAGAGTTTCCGGGACAGTCGATAGTACTTTGATTTGCTCCCTGGCAAGGCTTGCCAGTGTGTTCGTGCAATGTTACAAATTTTCGTACGCTTCATGGAAGTAACGTCCATTGTAGACAATGGCAGTAGGACAACTAATCGACAGTCGAGACAATAGTGTATGGGCGTGATAAAAATCTGATGCAGTCACGGATGACGCAGTATTTTTCAGGGCCTAACAAATTTCATCATACACGCCCAAAATAGATTCATATTACTGCACACCCCTGCAAGTGATCTAATCCGAGGAAAGAATAGAAATCGATTACACCCTGTAACTTGAATGTGTCTAAAATTGACCGTATGATGAAAGAAAGGAAAGTAAAGCGGTTGTTTCAATTAATTTACACAGGGATTATTTTGCGAAATAAAGACCACCTGCGGGCTAATTTCATCCACAGTTTAGATTAACGTAAGCAATAATCTTACTTCTGATTTTCTCTTCTAACAAACCTAGCGAAACCACATACTGGGACAGCCATGTCAATAAAGAGGCACATTTTGTCTCTGCGATCTCTAATCATAGCAATTAGCTTTGATTCTTCTGTCTCTGTGTGTATGTATTGTAAAGTCCCAGAAAATTGTTACATAAGGTGTGGGCTGTACTTGTGACTACAATTTTTTGTATTTCGTTAAGGCATGGACTACCAGGAATTCCTTCAGATTCTTTTCCAATCAATCCGAGGACAAACTGGAATTGTTAATGTCCTCATGTGCCACATTTTGGAAATTTCGATTTCAAGGTTCATGTATTTTGATAGTTTTTTTTTTTTTTTTTTGAAGATCTTCCAAAGATATATAACAGTCTGCAGAGAGTGCCATATCAAAAGGAGGTACATGTCAGGGCGAAAATTGTTACAGGTTCTATCTCTGTAACCTGGTCTAAGTGGTGTTCATACCAATTTGTTGCAGTTTTCATTCCGTAGGCATTGCAGATTTTAATGTGCAGATATTGGCCCACTCTGTCGTGCTTATTATTATTATTATTATTTATTAAAAGAATGCCCAATCAGTGGCCATTGTCAAGCTATCATTAGTATCCATCAATCCTCTCTCTTTAGGGACATGAGGGAGGTACTGCTACACAGTTGGAATCTCCTGGAACAAGCACCCCTAAAGTTTCTTTCCGCGAACTTCCCGAAGACAGAAACACGACAGAGAGGTTAACAGCAAATACATTTTGATCCCATAGGAGACTTACTGTATCTATAATGTCTGGCTGTATTACTGTATCTATAACGTCTGGTTGTATTACAGTATCTATAATGTCTGGTTGTATTACTGTATTTATAATGTCTGTCTGTATTACTGTATCTATAACGTCTGGCTGTATTGCTGTTTCTATAATGTGTGGATGTATTACTGTATCTATAACATCTGGCTTCATTACTGTATCTATAATGTCTGTATGTATTACTGTATCTATAATGTCTGGATGTATTACTGTATCTATAACGTCTGGCTTCATTACTGTATCTATAATGTCTGGCTGTATTACTGTATCTATAATGTCTGGCTATATTACTGTATCTATAACGTCTGGATGTATTACTTTGTCTATAATGTCTGGCTGTATTACTGTATCAATAATGTCTGGCTGTATTACTGTATCTATAACGTCTGGATGTATTACTGTACCTATAACATCTGGCTGTATTACTGTATCTATAACGTCTTGATGTATTATTGTATCTATAATGTTTGGCTGTATTACTGTATCTATAACGTCTGGCTGTATTACTGTATCTATAACGTCTGGATGTATTACTGTATCTATAATGTCTGGTTGTATTACTGTATCTATAACGTCTGGCTGTATAACTGTATCCATAATGTCTGGATGTATTACCGTATCTAAAACGTCTGGCTGTATTACTCTATGTATAATGTCTGGCTCTATTTCTGTATCTATTACGTCTGGATGTATTACTGTATCTATAATGTCTGGCTGTATTACTGCATCTATTACGTCTGGATGTATTACTGTATCTATAACATCTGGCTTCATTACTGTATCTATAATGTCTGGCTTCATTACTGTATATATTACCTATAACGTCTGGCTGTATTTCTGTATGTATAGCGTCTGGATGTATTATTGTATCTATAATGTCTGGCTTTATTGCTGTATCTATAACGTCTGGCTGTATTACTGTATGTATAACGTCTGGCTGTATTACTGTATCTATAACGCCTGGATGTATTACTGTATCTCTAACATCTGGCTTCATTACTGTATCTATAATGGCTGGCTTCATTACTGTATCTATAATGTCTGGCTGTATGACTGTATCTATAACGTCTGGATGTATTACTGTATCTATAACGTCTGGATGTATTACTGTATATATAACGTCTGGCTTCATTACTGTATCTATAATGTCTGGCTATACTACTGTATCTATAACGTCTGGCTGTATTACTGTATCTATAATGTCTGGCTGTATTACTGTATCTATAACGTCTGGCTGTATTACTGTATTTATAATGTCTGTCTGTATTACTGTATCTATAACGTCTGGTTGTATTGCTGTATCTATAATGTGTGGATGTATTACTGTATCTATAACATCTGGCTTTATTACTGTATCTATAATGTCTGTATGTATTACTGTATCTATAATGTCTGGATGTATTACTGTATCTATAACGTCTGGCTTCATTACTGTATCTATAATGTCTGGCTGTATTACTGTATCTATAATGTCTGGCTATATTACTGTATCTATAACTTCTGGATGTATTACTGTGTCTATAATGTCTGACTGTATTACTGTATCAATAATGTCTGGCTGTATTACTGTATCTATAACGTCTGGATGTATTACTGTACTTATAACATCTGGCTGTATTACTGTATCTATAACGTCTTGATGTATTATTGTATCTATAATGTCTGGCTGTATTACTGTATCTATAGCGTCTGGCTGTATTACTGTATCTATAACGTCTGGATGTATTACTGTATCTATAACGCCAGGCTTCATTACTGTATCTATAATATCTGGTCGTATTTTGTATAAATAAATAAAGAAAAATAATTGGGACTTAATATATATATATATAATTTGGCTGCATATTATAGCTTCTAAAGACATAGTATTCTGAACTGTTATGCAAATATCGCTCCTCCAATATGGCTGAACAATCTACTCACAGATGAAGAAAGACTTGATGTAACAGAAATATGATTCTGTAGAAGGACGCTGAGAATACCATAAAGTGAACACGTGAGCAACTACGAGGGAAAATGGAAAAAAAGACACTTATACTTATAATCAACTGTTGCAATTTCTACGGCACATAATGAGAAAAGCAGAATTGGAAAATTTGACACTCACAGGTTATACTGAAGGCAAGAGGGACAGAGAAAATCAGGCAGACGGAATAAGCATCAAGCAAACCGGTTAAGTCCAAACAAGATTAATAGAATTTGCGTCGCAACCACGAATCATCTTAGGTTGGGACTCTCGTAACAGAGAGATTGACTAAACTTCCAATAATCACCGAAGAGACACTGAATTTTCTACGGTCACGAAGGGTTGCCCTCTCAATGAGGCTACATACTTTGAACGCCCACTGGGGTTCAAGTTCACTCCAGACCTGAAGTGGAACACATATATCCGATCCATCGCTAAAAATACTGGAAAAAGAGGCAGATCAGATCCCAAAATTCAGCATTGCTGCCATATCTGGGCTGCAAGATGACTAGTGCTCGCTTTTCAACGTTGAGGCAACCATTTTTTTTTTGGTGGGGGTAACATTTCCCGCTCCTAGGAGACTTTCTTTAGATCAACCATTTCAGACGATCACACATAAAAACAGTAATGCTACGTCCGCAGGATCGAATCACCATCATTCCATCCCCACCTCGTATTTCTTTGGTTACATTGTTAAACAGACTCCTACATGGATGCTTCCCACTGTTCTCGTTAAGGATCCTTATAAGACTCTTCTCCTACTCCATCATCTAAGTCCATATCTCATTCAGTAACCGTCTACCTTGAGTGGCTCTTGAGTCTTGTACTGGATGAACATTAGTAAAAATAAAAAGTCTAGGGTCACTCGTAGCCTTATAATCCTCACTTCCTTATTCTACATGTTACGTCCATACCGCAAAACTTATTCAGTAACCATTTAGCTTGAGTGGCTCTTGAGTCTTGTACTAGATGTACATTAGTAAAAACAAAAAATCTAGTGTCTCTTCATATCGTTATAATTTCCATTTTCTTCTTCATCTTTTTACGTCCATACCGTTTACCTCCTTCCGTAACCATCTACCATGAGCGGCTCTTGGGCCTTGTACTGGGTGAACATTAGTAAAAAGAAGAAAGAGTTAAGGTTAATGTTAACGACATTAATGTAAAAAATTGAGCCAGAATTTAAGCAATAATGTGGGTGGGGGCTGAGGCCAATAACAATCAACAATCCCACCCCTCACGACATTCCCAACTACCTACTACACACCTCCTCCCCCCACACCCATATGCATAATCCCTCCGCCAAATTACCTTGTTTATTCTCGCTGCCATCTCCTATTGGCTTTTTGAGCGCTCACCATCTTAGTCAGTGGCTTGGAGGTGTGTTGGACGATTGATAAAAGACATTACAGCCGTTCGACAAGCTAAATTCTTTACTGTCTTTCTTTCTCTCTCTCTCTCTCTCTCTCTCTCTCTCTCTCTCTTCACCCTCCCTCTTTCTTACATTTTTAGATTTCTTTTCCAACATTTTAATCCCAACTTCTCTCTGGCTTCCTTTCGTTTCTTTCTCTTTGTTCAGACCCCCCCAAAAAAAAAAAGGCCCCCGCCACATCTCATATCCCATCCTGCAACCACTTTCTGCATTTCACCAGAGGGTGACAAGATTAGATGTGACAAGGGAGGCAGTCAAGCGTGTTAAAATCGTGACGACGTCCGCCCGGAGACCATCGAAGAAGACAGCGATATTAGAGAATCCGGGCTGTGGGGGGTGGGGAGAAGTTTGGGGTGTGGGTCTTTGAACGGTCAGAGGGGCCGATGATTGGTGTCGAACGACCATTTTTCTTGGCCACGCGTCGGGGACTTCATTAGGCCGTCACCCGTCGCCCCGTCGCTTAAATGCCTCTTACTTAACGACTTACGAGCTAGAAATTCGACTGCGTCAAAATGCATGTGCGATGTAACGTCTATACGCTTATTGATTGTCAAAGATATGGATAATCAAACGATGCCATTGCCGGGTGGACGGTTTGCGTGTTAAGTTACCGTATCTGCAAATAATTGTTAACAGCTGTGACTATAGATACGTGAGGGCAATCGACAATTTCTGATTGTCATGTTTTATACGTTGGTTTGTAAGCGAATGAGTTGGTTATTACGTGGGTTTTTATGGTTAATGATGATAGCATAGTGTAAAAGTCGTTGGTGAGCAAATATATTAGCGAAGGATCCGGTGTGGGTATATAAGAACTTTTTGGTGAAATCTGGAGCAAAAAATAATTTGACAAACTAACATGGAACTTTAGATGTGCATATTTCTAAAGGATATCGGTGCAGTTAATGGAATCGGTGGGCACAGGTCGAATTCTGAGCTAGACTGTTGCACAAAACTCCATTTTTAAAATATAATTTCACCTCAAGCAAGGCAATAAAGCCACTAACATGGAACTATAGATGTGAAGATATTTAAAGGATATCGGTACAGATAATGGAATCGGTGTGTCCAGATCGAATTCCGAAAAGTCCTTTTTTTAAAAAATAATTTCACCTCAAGCAAGGCAATATAGCCACTAAGACGCAAGGGGTTACAGAGTATGGAAGAATACGAAAAAAAAAAAAATAAAACACTGTTAAGGCGAGGAAACAATAAAAGTACAAGAATTGGGAAGACAGAAGATAACAGAAGATTGACGTTGCATTTAAATCTTTGAAGATCTAAGTTGACCGTAAAGCAGGAAACCAGAAAAGAGTGAAAAATGCGCGGGAAGAAAGTCTTAGTTCGTTTACCTCGATCCATTTCTACTGTAAAATGAAGGGAATTTGACACAAAGGGAAAGACACAAATCCTTTCCATCCCAACCCCAGATATGAGTTAAGTAAATTGCACAGTAGAATCTTTTAGACTAGGTTCTCTAGACTTGGGTGGAAACTGGTCTTAGAGAAAGAAACGTTTGAATTTAAAACTGTGGGGAAAACATTCCACTATATTTCTCCCAAAAGATATACTTGAAAGATAATAAACAAAAGGAAACAGTGGAGAACCATAATCGCCTATGTCCTGAAGGGCGAAAGACAGCACTGAATTCAAAACCGTAGATAAGCCAATCGGGAACTACTATCTTTCAAAAGAAATCATGGAAATTCCCAGATAATAAAAAAAAGGAATCTGTGGAGAGCCACCTATTTCCTGACTGAAGAAAGACAGCTCTGAATTCAAAACCGTAGAGAAGACAATCGGAAACCACTTTGCTATCTTTGATATGAAGTCATGGAAATTCCCTAATAATAAAGAAAAGAATTCAGTGGAGAGCCATGATCGCCTATGTCCTGAAAGGTGAAAGACAGCTCAGAATTCAAAATCGTAGAGAAGCCAATTAGAAACCACTGTACAATCTTTCAAAAGAAGTCATGGGAATTCTTAGAAAATAAAGAAAAGGAATCTGTGGAGAGCCATTATCGCCTATGATCTGAAGTGAGAAAGACAAAACTGTAGATAAGCCAATTGGAAACCACTGTACTATCTTTCAAAAGATGTATGGCAATTCAAAAAAGGAATCTATGGAGTACCATAATATCCTTTGTCCTCAATGGGGAAAGACGTCTTTGAATTCTAAATCATAAACTGGAAAGCACTGTACTAACTTTCCTAAGAAGCCATGCATTAAGAAGTCATACTTAAGAAGCAATGCCACAGCTAATAGTGAAAAGGAAAATGTGGAGGGCCATTACAGCTTATATCCTGAAGAGACAAAGAGCTCTGAATCCCAAACCGTAGAGATGGAAACAGCAAACCACTCAGTTATTTTTTTCTGAATAAGCCACGGCAATTCACATATAATAAAGAAAAGAAACTTGTGGAGAGCCATGATCGCCTACGTCCTAAAGAGACACGGTATATTAAAAAAAAAAAACAGTACCTTGCAACAGGAAAGAATAAAATAATATTAGAAGAAATGAAATAATTAGGAAGAAAATAAACTACACGAGTGAAGGTTGTTACATTATTTACATTATTCGGACTGTTATCCTCATCTTCATTGCCATATTCACAACGTCTCGGCCGTTGTACACTCCGGCCTTCTTCAGGGGATTGGAATTTCGAACCGAAAACATTATTTCGTCTACCAGGGGAGATTGTTCTAGTTCCTCGTGCCATGCCTCTTCTGGATGCCTCAGTTATTTCCCTTTAACTCAATTCTCCAAGTATTTAGTTTATTACTGCTGTAGCCTGAACTTTGGGTCTAGCCACTGGATCTAACCAACGCCATTATCCACTGCAGAAGACCGGAGCGAACAATAGCCGAAACGTTGTAAATATGGCAATGAAGATGAGGACGACAGTTCGAATAATGTAAATAATGTAAGTTATCATAATACCTCATCTCAGAGATATAGACAAATATTGATTTTTTTAATTTTTTTTTTTTTTATGGATAGAATGCATTTTTAGAAATAGAAAAAAAAATGATTTTTGTCTATTTCAGTCTCGGGGACGTTAACTCATTTCATAACTTTAGCTTAGATTAGTACAAGTTTACAAGTGCGGGGTATCTGTTGCATGTTGACGGTTGAGAATATTCTCAGCTCCTTTTTTTCTCTTGGCCGGTGATCACCAATCATTTCGGTTCGATAATAAAAGACACCAAGACAGAGAATTTTAAATTATTTTCATTAATCATGTTGACATCGACTTTATCAAACTATCCTGTGGGGATCGTACACCCGTTCTCACTGGGGAGCCGTTTCGGACACGAAAAAGAAGATGTCTACATCTCTTGACGAGTAAGAACCAACTCACAGAAAAAAAAAATTCTCTATCATTCCTACGCTAACTCAGCCAAATTTCTTATTATACCTTAATCTGACCCCGAAGGTCAACCTCCGGAAGTCGGAGCTGAGAAACACTTCCCCACTAAAAATAATAGTTTCCTAAATTATTATTTAACACACCTACTGACGATCGAACTCGCTACTCATTACTTATCCCGAGGCGTCCTAGTAGCTAAAAAGGTTATAATTTACTTTTATTTACTTATTTATTTTTCACATGTTTACAAATACGGGGAACCCAATGAGAATCGAAATCCCTACTCAGTAGTAATAGGCACTAGATTAGCTCGGTAACCATCACCTTATCTCTCGGTACTTTGGCAAAGTTTTTTTTTATAGCATTTTAAAATGATGTATTTTGAACTAAGCCTCATAATGCTTGGCTAATTCTCAAATTTGGGAATAGTTCCATGTTTAAAATAGTAAGTAGGAATTTTAATTATTTTCAGTATATTGAGGGGGTGAGGAACATTGCGTGGGTGTGGTCAGAGTTATAAGTTCTTCTTTGTTAGGGTATCTTAAAGTGACGTTATGTACATGCACTTGGGAACTTTACTTTTCTGTTATTGAATGATGATGGTTAGCGAAGCTCGATTGGTTTATTTTGCTTTACGGCATATCAACACCTCAATGGGTTATTTAATGACGACAACATTTTTAGGATAGGTTCGTATGAATAGAATATGTATTCTTTGGTTTAGTTTGGTTTATTTTGTTTTACAGCATATCAACCTCAATGGGTTATTTTATGTCGGCAGGATTTTTAGGATAGGTTCGTATGAATAGAATATGTATTCTTGTAAGAAATCAGTTTGGACATCATGTTTCATTGGCGTATTTTTGTAAAGAGGATGTTCGTTGAGAGTCTGGTTTGATTTAGTTTATTTTGTTTTGCAGCATATCAACCTCAATGGATAATTTAATGCTAAGAAGACTTTTAGTCTAGATTCACATGAATCGAATATGTATTTTTTGTAAGAAATTAGTTTATACATCAAGTTTCATTGACTTATTTTTATAAAGAATCAAATGTATTAGTGTTTTTTTTTTCAAAACATGTATTGCTGGTAAATTGTTTAAAAATGTATTGCTGGTATTTTTACGAAATTTTTTTTTTTTTTTTTTATAATTTCATAGTGTTTTGACCTGTTTGGGAATTAACTAGTTGTCCAAACCTGGGAACCTAACAGGCACACTATTTTCATTATTCGGACTATTGTCCCCATCTTTGTCGCCATATTTATTACAACGTTTCAGCCGTTGTACGCTCCGGTCTTCTTCAACTGGTTGGAATGTCGAACAAGGACACATGGCACATTGGATAAAGGCGTTGGTTAGATCCAGTGACAGGACGCAAATAGTGTGAGGTCAATACCCAGTTAAGGCAGTGGATAACTTTCAGAGGGAAATTAACAGGAGATAACTGATAACTGATATTCATTAAACGTGGCAGGTGGAACTGGAACAGTCTACCCCAGTTAGCAAAAAAAAAAAAAAGGGTTCAGTTCGACATTTCAACCACCTGAAGATGGCCGAGCGTACAACGGCAGAAAGGTTGTAATAAATATGACGACAAAGATGACGACAATAGTGCGAATAATGTAAATAGTGTACATAATACCTCATCTCAGAATTATAGACAGATACCTAACAGGTGTTACCACTTCAGGTCAGGGTGGACCTGAGAACACCAGCAATTAAGAGGTGTTTCCTCACTACTCAAAACCTCCTGATCGGAGGCCTTGATGCCGTTTGTAGTTTATCGTCATTTCCAACACAAGAGGCTCGTCTGGTACATCATTACTAGTGAGTTCAATACTCACTGGGTGTTCCGTACAATAATTCAACATTAAATGGCGTAACAAGATTTCATCTGTTGATAAATCAAAGTATCTAGGCCTGGATTCATGCTTAGCAAATCTCGTCAGGTTGGCCATTGTTACTACATTCTAAGTTAAGATGACCGTGTACAAGAATTCCAAATTAAATAGTGATAACAAAGAATTGCATTTGATAAAATCAGCCTAACAGTGTGTCTTTAGGGCTAAATTAGAAACAGGTTTAAATCTAGAAATAAGTGTTTCTAAAAAAAATGCACCGAACTTAAAAGTATGATAAAATTAAGTGCGAGATTCGAACTTTTGTTAATAGAGGCGGAAAACTTTTAGGCATGAGAGTGCCGGCCCTGTCTGGGTTATTAGCAGTGTTAAAAGAAAAACTATATGAAGGGCTCGGATAGTTAATCTCCACCGCTAACCACATTATTTCTGCAGATTTTAAGGTTATTTTCTTCGGGAGAGAATCTAGTTGGAGAAAGATTAATAATTAAATAAATGAAAATAAATGAAACGTAACAAAAAAAAAACAAGAAAAAAAAAAAAAATGGAGAAAATATCAAAACTCCAGAATTTTGTTTCAAAGTTCTTGCAAACCAAAGCAAAGATGGAACGAAAGAAATCAACAGCGAAAGTTGCAAATAATTAACTAAGAAATTGTCTAATTGACTTCGTGGGCGGGGGGGGGGATAGACAATCGAATTACGACAAACTACAGCACAATGACAACAGGATCTGTGTAATAGACAAGACGAGGTAGATTAACTAGCCAGACAAAGTCAAGCGCTGATGGCGACGTTGAAGTGAAAGAAGGCAATGGCGATCATGGGATTAAAAAGAGAGAGAGAGAGAGAGAGAGAGAAAGAGAGAGAGAGAGAGAAAGAGAAATAAAAGTGCTTTCGGGGTGGGGATTTAGGCGGGAAGAAAGTAAATGAGGAATTGTTGGTAAAAAAAAAAAATTGAAGAGAAATGAAGGGATTTCGCGCCGTTGCACGTTACTTCAGTCAGTACCCAACCCCATCTCCCTCCCCAAACCCAACGTATCCACCTGCACATTTCACCCCCCGCAACGTCCCTAGTCCAACCCGACCCGACCCAACAGTGCTTACTCTTGCTTTTAACAATAAGGATAAGAACGGACAGGGTGGGAGGTGGGGTGTTTCTCTGTTTAGTGTAGAGGGCGCAACGATCGAGATGCGGCTATCTATCAAAATGTCCAAACGTATTACATCTCCAAGGCAAATTGCATTAAAGCAACTGACTTTTATTGTATTTCGCACATTGCTTTCTGGTCCCAAATTATATTTCTGGAGTTTAGAGTAAGGTTGGTGGGTGTGCAAAGTCAGGCAGGTCAGTGGTGGCAATGGTAGAAGCCGTGGTTCGATTCTGCGTCCTGTCGCTAACCTTTTCCTAATTAATTGTTCTGTAGAGAAAGAAAAGCCAAGATATTAGACCGATAGATTTCTCTCTTAAATTCTTGTGTGTCTTCTGACTTTTACAGTTGTTGCCGTTATTCGGAAAAGTTCTTTCTTTCTTTCTTTCTTTCATTCATTCATTCATTCTTTCTTTCTTTCTTTCTTTCTTTAATTCTTTCTTTCTTTCTTTCTTAATATATTCGCTTAGGTTTTCTTTTATTATTAAGTTTTTTTCTTTTTTCTTTGCCTTTATTTCTTTCTATTTCTTTCTTTCTTTCATCCATTCATTCTTTCCTTCTTTCTTTCTTTCTTTCTTTCTTTCTTTCATGCTTTCTTTCCTTCTTTCTTTCATTCTTTCTTTCTTTCATCCATTCATTCTTTCCTTCTTTCTTTCTTTCTTTCTTTCTTTCTTTCTTTCTTTCTTTCTTTCTTTCATTCTTTCTTAATATATTTGCTTAGGTTTTCTTTTATTATTAAGTTTTTTTCTTTTCCTTTCTTTCTTTGTTTGTTTTTCTTTCTGTCTTTTTCATTTTGTCTTTGTTCGCTTTTGTTCTTCATTCATTATTAAGATTTTGTTTCTTAGCTTACTTTTTCTTTTTTCGTTCTTTCTTTCATTCTTTCTTTCTTTCTTTCTTTCATCCTTTCTTTCCTTCTTTCTTTCATTCTTTCTTTCTTTCTTTCTTTCTTTCTTTCTTTCTTTCTTTCTTTCATTCTTTCTTAATATATTCGCTTAGGTTTTCTTTTATTATTAAGTTGTTTCTTTTTCTTTATTTCTTTTTCTTTCTGTCTTTGTTTTTCATTTTGCCTTTGTTCACTTTTGTTCTTCCTTCATTATTAAGATTTTGTTTGTTTTTGTTTGTTTGTTTGTTTGTTTATTTATTTATTTATTCTCATTTCTAGACTTTGTCGTTTCACCCGCTTCTTTCTTTCTTTCTTTCTTTTCATCTATATTTTTGTCATATCATCAGCTTCTTTCTTTCTTTCTTTCTTTCTTTCTTTCTTTCTTTATTTATTTATTCTCATTTCTACACTTTCTTTCTTTCTTTCTTTCTTTCTTTCTTTCTTTCTTTCTTTCTTTCTTTCTTTCTTTCATTCTGTCTTTCTTTCTTTCTTTCTTTTCATTTCTATACTTTGTGGTTTCACCCGCTTCTTTCTTTCTTTCTTTCTTTCTTTCTTTCTTTCTTTCTTTCTTTCTTTCTTTCTTTCTCCTACTCGCTTTTGCGCGCCACGTTTTCTTTTGCCTTCCACAGTCTTTCTTCTTCAGTCGTTCTCACGATTTGTCACTTTTTAACATAACCCTCGGTGGCTGTAGGTCTCGACCATTTCTTCTTCTTCCAGTCCTTCTTTTTCTTCTCGAAGTCTATTTCTCTCACTCCTGGCCTATTTAGGAATCCTTGTCTCTTGGAGAGACCCCCACCCCAACTACCATCACACTCCAATTTTTTGTTTCTTTTCTTTTTCTCTCGGCTATCTTTTCTTTCACTTTTCCTTTCGCTCCAATTTTTTTTATCAAGTGTCCTCCTCCCTGTTTCTGTGAGACAAGCTCACAGGTTCTCTCACTCATTCATTCATATACTCACAGACTCACTCATTGACTCACCCACTCACTCAGTGACTTATATAGTCTATCACGGTCTAAGTCACAGACACACTCACTCACATACTCACTCTTAGACTTACATACAGACTCATAGACTCACTCACTCACAGATTAAACCACTGACTGACTGACTCTTTTTTTCTTTTCTTTCTCTCTCTCTCTCTCTCTCTCTCTCTCTCTCGTTTATCTTTTCTTTCACTCTTCTTTTCGATCCATCTTATTTTCAGGTGTCCTCCTCCCTATTTCTGTGAGACGGGCTCACAGATTCACTCATTCACTGACTCACTCACTCACTCACTCACTCACTCACTCACTCACTCAATCAATCAATCAATCACATACTCACAGCCTCACCCACTCACTCACAGACTCACTCACATATTTAGACTCACTCACTGACTCTCCCACTCACTCACAGACTCAGTCACTTTCAAACTTATATAATCACTCACATAATCACTCTTATTCACTCACTCACTCACTCACTCACTCTCACTCTCACTTACGCTCATTCACAGACTTACTCACTCAGCCACAGACTGATTGACTGTTTCACTGACGCACCCTTTCTTTCTTTCTTTCTTTTCATCTATATTTTTTATTTCATCAGCTTCTTTCATTCTTTCTTTCTTTCTTTTTTTTCTTTTTTTTTTCTTTCTTTCTTTCTTTCTTTCTTTCTTTCTTTCTTTCTTTTCATTTCTATACTTTGTGGTTTCGCCCGCTTCTTTCTTTCTTTCTTTCTTTCTTTCTTTCTTTCTTTCTTTCTTGCTTGCTTTTGCTTTTCTTGCTTTCTTTCTTTCTTCTCATTTCTATACTTTGTTATTTCGCCTGCTTCTTTCTTTCTTTCTTTCTTTCTTTCTTTCTTTCTTTCTTCATTAGACCCTTTCTCTATTTCATCTTTACTCACCCTCTCTACCTCTCGCTTGCTCTCCCCCACCTTTTTTCTTATTTCTTTCTATTATGCTTCCGATGTCGTGTTCCCCGACCGACCCAACTCTGTAAATCTGAGAAAATACCCCCTTCTCATATCTGATTTTTTTCTTCTTCTGTTTTTTGAGGGATAAGTATAATCTCTTATGTGAGACCAAGAAATTTTCAGCACCCTCTCGCCTCTCCTTCCTCTTGTTTTTTTTATCACCCCCTTTTTTTTCGATGTTGAAAATGTATCAACAAATGATGTACGTGCCTCTTTTTTATTCATATGTAATTTCCCGCCTCTCTCTCTCTCTCTCTCTCTCTCTCTCTCTCTACTTTTTTTTCATTCTCTCTCTCACACACACATTTTTTCTACCTCTGTCTCACAAGCACACCCACCGTCTCTGTGTAATCCAGATATGCTCTCTGTCACCCAGAGGCGCTCCCTCTCTCTTTCAGACACAATCCTCACTCACACGCGCCTTCTCTGTCACCCACCCACACACACCCCTTCTCATTTACGCACACACCCTCCTTTTTTTCTTTTTTTTTTCACACACATTCTCTCTTACACATACTCTCCCTTTCTCCATCTCACACACAAAATACTGTCTCTCGCACACACTTCCACTCATACACACACACACACACTCTCTCATACTCAACCTTTCTCTCTCTCTCTCTCTCTCTCTCTCTCTCACACACAATGTGTCAAACACATTCTCTCTCTCATACATTCTTCTTCTTTCACTTTCGCACACACATTCTCTGTCTCAAACAAACATTCTCTCACACACACACATACTCTTCCTTTCTTTCTCTCTCTCTCACACACATTCACTCTCACACACGCTATCCCTCTTTCACACACACTCCAACTGACACACACGCTCCCTCTCTCACGCGCATTCTCTCTCTATCTCATATACACTCTCCTTTTCTCTCTCTTAAACGCACATTCTCTCTCACGCGCACACACTCTTCCTTTATTTCTCTCTCTCACACACACACATTCTCTCTCTCAAATGCACATTCTCTCTCACACACACTATCCCCCTCTCACGCACACACTCCAACTCACACACACTATACCTCTATCACACGCATGCTCTCTCACACTCTCTCCCCTCTCTCATACGCACTCTCCCTTTCTCCCTCTCAAACACACATTCTCTCTCACATAAACACACTCTCTCTTCCTCTCTCTCTCTATCAAACACATTATCTGATTCAAACGTACATTTCCTTTCTCTCACACAGACTCTCTCTTTCTCTCTCTTATTCTCTCTTTCTCTTTCACACGTTCTCTATCTCAAACGCGCGATCTCTCTCTTTCACTCTCTCTCTCACACACACTCCGTTTCTCTCTCTCTCTCTTACACACTCTTTCGCAATGTCTCTCTCTCCCTCTCATATTTTCCAAATCAACTTACTTATTTGCTTTTTACTTCTTTAGGTAAAGACTTGGCTCCTGTGGACCTTATCCTTATTTAAGTTTTAATTACTAGGGTTTGTTCGAAAAACACTGGCTTTGATAAATGAGGGATTCTAGATTCATGCCTTTCACACAGCATTAGTCTGAAGAACGTGGTTTGTTCCAGATGTTCAAATTGAACCATCGACCTTGAATAACGACAAACTGCCATTTACGGCTTACAAGTCAACTTATTAAGTTTGAAAAATCTCTCCCAAGACCAGAGGTCGACCTCTGCAGCTGACAGCAACATAAACCCACACCACAACGTTATAGGCAAGTGAATACACTCCCTAAAATATGTTATGTCCTAGTTATCGTAACGCCAAGGGACTCTGCTATTCTGCCGAATAATATTTTATTGAACATGTCGATTTTAACTTGATCGAGTCAAGAGATAATACAAGTTAATGTCTCTTCCATGATAATAACTCGTCTTGTTGGTAAGATGAAAAAAATATGGTGTGTAATCGAGTGTACGTTTAATTATATCGACTAAACATTATTCTATTGCAATATGTGCGATTGGAAATTTTACCAAACACGACTTCGGAGTACGGTAAGTGAATGTTCGATTGGCGGTTTGATGTTGTTCTTTACCTGGGGAATGAGATGAACAAATGACTCATAAATCAAGGAAAAGTGAATTTTGAATGAAAAGTCTTGGGGTCTATTTATAGATTGTAATTTACGGTGACCCAGAAAGAGAGTTCTGGATTCGATTCAAATCTTGTCCCATGGGTTCGTTTTACTCCAGTGTTCCAAAGATAGATATTGGTTCTATCTTACACTAGAGCTGAAATTGCAGGCATGTGCCCGATTTACGCGAGAGTTCAAAATATAGACATGGGTTCGATTTTCTCCTAGAACCGAAATGGCAAGCATAAGTCCGGTTTACTCGAGAGTACAAAAGATATACATGGTTTCGATTTTACACTAGAGCCGAAAAGGCAAACATGGGTTCAGTTTACTCCAGAACCATGTCAGACATGAGTTCGATTTACTAGAGAAACAAAAGGCAGGCATGGGTTCAGTTTACAACAGAACCAAAAGGCAAACATCGTTTCAGTTTACTACTGAACCAAAAAGCAGTCATGGATCCTGTGTACATAAGAGTGAAAAAGATAAAGGTATTGCTCTAGATTCAGAAAGACAGACCGAGGTTCGGCTTGCTAGAAAGTAAAAAAAGTCAGGCTTGGTTCCGGTTTACACAAGAGTGGAAAAGATAAACATGGGCCCATTTTCAATATAAAAGGCAAACAGGGACACGGTTTACACGAAAGGCGAAGAGGTTCCTGTTTTCACTAGATATAAAATACAGACATTATTCGTTTTACTAGAGCGTTAAAAAGGTAGATATGGGTTCGGTTTACAGGGAAGACAATAAGGCGACATGGTCTGGTTTACATTAGAATCAAAAAATGAGACATCGGTCCGATTTTACACGAGAGGCGAAAATGATGTCAATGGTCGGGTTTACTAGGGTCAAAAAGATAGATAAGGGTCTGATTTTACACTTGAATCAAAAAGATAGACACGGCCAAGTTTATGTGAAAGAGAAAAGGCAGACATCGTTTTTTTTTTGCATTTGAGAAAAAAACGGTAGACATGTCCGGCTTACATGAGAGTGGAAAAAGTAGACATGGGTCCTGTTTACACTAGATTAAAAAGTGTACATATGAGTACACTTGACCCGAGAGAGTTGGTTGGTTGGCTGTTTTGTCTTATGGCATATCAACATCAGTGGGTCATTTAATGGCAACAACATTTTTGAAATAGGTTCATAGTGATAGCTTGCAAAAAAAAAAAAAAAATATATATATATATATATATATATATATATATATATATATATATATATATATGAACCATTTTTGAGTAGAATCCAACTTCTTTTACGAAATTTACAATCTTGGATGATTTTATTTTCGTAAAATGTTCTTTTTTTAAAATTACTTACTTGGTAATATTTTGTTCGCACTAGACCCAAATCTACAAACTCTAACCGTATATGTTTCACTGTAAATTTTAATTATTTCTGATAATAATTTTTCCTTCAAAACTTATTGCCGGTAATAATTTTTTTATTATAAAGTTTTTCTGGTAGTAAAAACTATTTTTACACAAGTTTGGGTGTTAACTATTTGCCCATAGCTGAGACCCTAACAGGTGCTACCACCCCGGGTCAGGGTGGACCTGGGAACACCAGCAATTAAGAGGTGGTTCCACGCTCCTCAAAACCTCCTGATCAGAGGCCTTGCTGTTGGACGTAATTTATCGTCATACCCAGGACGCGGACGTAGTTTATCGTCTTACCCAGGACGCGGATGTAGGTTATCGTCTTACTCAGGACGCAGATGTAGTTTTTCGTCTTACCCAGGACGCGGATGTAGTTTATCGTCTTACCCAGGACGCGGATGTAGTTTATTGTCTTACCCAGGACGTTCACCCGAGAGGGAGAAAATGTAAGGCATGAATCCGGTTTACACAAGACTAAAAAAGATAAATGTGGCTCTTATATAATTTTAGGGCCGAAATGGCAGGCACGAACCAGTTTATGCAAGAGTTCAAACGGTAGAAAACGATTCGGTTTAAAACTATGGCCAACATGGCAGGCATGGGGCCGGTTTACTGGAGTGTCTTAAAAGCTAAGCATGTGTTCGAGTTTACACTAGAGCTAAAATGGCAGGCATGGTTCGGTGAAGTTAACAGTTGAAACGATAGTAACAGGCTTGATTTTACATTAGGGCTAATTTGACAGGCATGGGCCGGTGTACGAGAGTTAACACCAGAGATATGGGCTCGATTTTACACTAGGGTCCAATTGACAGGTATGGGCCGGTGTACGAGAGAGTTCAAACCAGTGATATGGGCTCGATTTTACACTAGAGCCCAATTGACAGGCATTGGCCGGTGTACGAGAGAGTTCAAACCAAAGGTATGGGCTCGATTTTACACTAGAGTCCAATTGACAGGCATGGGCCGGTGGACGAGAGAGTTCAAACGAGAGATATGGGCTCGATTTTACACTAGGGCCCAATTGACAGGCATTGGCCGGTGGACGAGACTTCAAACGAGAGATATGTGCTCGATTTTACACTAGGGCCCAATTGACAGGCATTGGCCGGTGGACGAGAGAGTTCAAACGAGAGATATGGGCTCGGTTTTACACTAGGGCCCAATTGACAGGCATTGGCCGGTGTACGAGAGAGTTCAAACAAGAGATATGGGCTCGATTTTACACTAGGGCCCAAGTGACAAGTATTGGTCGGTGTACGAGAGAGTTCAAACGAGAGTATGGGCTCGATTTTACACTAGGGCCCAATTGACAGGCATTGGCCGGTGTACATGAGAGTTCAAACGAGAGATATGGGCTCGATTTTACACTAGGGCCCAAATGGTAGATATAGATCCCGATTACCCACGAAAGTCAAAATATTCGATATAGGCCTGATTCGCATTACAGTGAAAAAAGAATACGTTGATATTGGTTCAATTTAAATGAGAGGCAAAAACGGAGACGTAGATCCAGCTTACATTAACGTGAACAGAGTATACATGGGTTTGTTTTACACTAGAATGAATATATATATATATATATATATATATATATATATATATATATATATATATTCAATCTGCTTGTCTAAATCATCTTAAAGAAGCAAGATCTAA